ACGGCTGCTGCGAGGCAAAGATTGCGAAGTCCGACCATTTTCTTGAATGCCGTGGAGAGGGGAAGAACTCGGCGAGGAGGAAGCTAGAACCGCACAAAGCAGCAAGGAAACAGAAAAAAATAAGCTAAGTCAGAATTTGGGGGTTGAAAATGCGCGGCCATTGCGTCCATGCCAGCAATGTGCATGTGAATGGGCTTGGGCCTTGGGGAGAGACGGGACAGGGTAGGGTGAGGCGAGGGTTAACGCAACCCCAAGTCCATTGGGCTCGAGGTAATCCCACTTGAGCGTCGCAAGACATGCAACAACGACCTCGATCAGCTGTGAATATGAGCTGATGCTTGACGAAATGGGGTGTCCTGCAGTGGGAAGGCGTCTTTTCACGTTCCTTTTCAAGAAGGGAGGATGGCGGCGCAATGGCTCACCGAGGCGTTCAACCTGGTTGATGATAATCCATTGAATGACCACCGCCCAAAAGGACATCACGAGGACATATTCGAGTCACGCCACGTGCTTCGTGTAAGACAACCATTCGCACCAAGGCTCAGGGATAGCGGCCTTCCTCCCGCCTCTCTCCCGCTCGCGGGGCCTCAAGTTAGACTTTGCGCGCTTGAATATATCCAAGCTGGGAAAGGGCAACGGGCGAACTGGCGAGCTCCACGAGTAAATTACAGGTGGGGCCCGCAATATTACGGCCTTGATCACGCGATCGCCTTCGCCAAGGAGCGTGGGAAAGCGCGTCCAAGGCGTAGCGGGCACTTGGGTCCAGCGGTGGAATGCACAGGACATGCACGGATGGTTTTTGTAATGTTTATATACCAGCCATCCAGAGAGGGGAGGGGGGACGTTGAAGTTGTATCCTTCCGCCTGGGCCTTGCTGCGAGGCCTGCGCGCAAGAAAAGATGAAAAATGCGCTTTTGACAATGCCAGTGACTGATTGAATGTGGTTCTGATATGATGTACCAGTCTACTTTGCACTACAATGCTTTGCATCGGAAAATTTATAATCCTGACATCTTTGATGTATAGGAGTGTCCAAGAAGGAAAGAGGTCTCACATGGGCCCTTGAGAGGGGATTACTAGCACTACTATCAAAAAGGGTTTGTCGTAAAACAAGAACTTGTTTATGATAAAAGGAACTCATAGGCCGTGACAAGAGAAGCAACGTTTGCGATGTTGCTCAATTTCTCTCACAATTGGTTTCAGGGATGTCTTTTTACCACGCATTTCAGAGCCTGAGCTACGGCGATCGAGTGGATGAAGATGCTTGTTCCTTTCAAAATTGATAGTGTTGCTTCTTTGATGCTCTGGAAAACGTCGGAAATAGGGGACTGTGCCGACGTCTAGGGTCGAAAACAACAGGGCAAAGGACAGAAGTCATGATGCCACGGACGAACCCGCAGAGAGGAGGTAAAGGAACAAGTCGGAACACCGCGAGAACCTGTGATTGGCTCGTATTCTTTCTTTAGAGTTGATCAAAAACACCCTCGGGGTTGCCTTATATTTCAGCGCAGTACCTCGTCCACCTGCCTTATAAACATGAGTGCTTGCTTTCGGGACCAGACAGGGCCCCCCTTATTTTTCCTCCTTCTCAATCTCCTTTGTTGCCTCTTCCTCCTCCTCCTCCTCCCCCTGTAACGGTGAATGACAGTCCGTTGGGGAGATACAAAACATCATCAGAATAAATTGCATGTATAATACATGAAACCGCATCCTCTTTGAACAGGAAAAGGTGAGTTCTGATGTCGAGGGGGTGGCCCATCTGTCCCCGCCCTCCCCTTCATATCCCTCCCTCTGATCATCCTCTCCCACACGCCCTGCCTTCCCTCCCCCCCTTCCTCCTGCCTCACCTCTTTCCCTCCCTCCTTTGATGGAGGCTGAAATTTGCGAAGTTGCTCCCAGTATTGGAGGCGGGCTGCCCCCTCAAGAGCCCTAGGAGGGAAAGGAGGAGGAAACGGAAAGACGCGCTGAGGAATACAAAGCAGTAGAGCCTCGACGACTCCTGCTGGAGGAATCACACGAGCTCGCATCGTGCGACCGGGAAAAAAAAAAGGAAGGCGGGGGGGATCAAGGAAGAAACGGAGAGAGGAGAAGGCCAGGGCCCTACCCCTTGAGTTTGGCCGAGTGGACCGCGCCGTCCTTCATGTACCTGGAAGAGAGGGAGGGAGGGAAAGGGTCGGTAGGGAGGACACACCTGGGAGGCCCTCCTTTCCTCCCTCCCTCCCTCCCTCCCGCCCTCTCTCCCTCCTTACCATAG